ACGTGAACGGATTAAACGACGGTCAGCTATTTTGCGGACAAGTTCGCGCGCGGCTTACGCCACCGGAAAGTTAATCCCCGCTGACCCCCGGAGAGAGAGAATCGGCCCCATTTACGAACTCGATTTCGGATTATGTCCTCGGGAGGAGGAGCAATTCCCCCGGTGACGCAACCGGAGATCCGTACTTTGTCAAGTCCACCTACGTGCATTAAGTTGAGAACGCGTTAATCTCCGCCGCCGAAGGAGAAATCTCGAGGTGTAGCGGAAAAATCAAACATTAGATTATTATGATTATTATTTTTTTATTTTCCCGAGAGAATTGTAAAACATCTTTTATTTCACGAGAGTTCTCGTAGCAGGTGCACGTACAAAAGACTTTATTACTCGGAGCGCTCTTCGAGAAGATGTTTCAAAAGTTTTCGCCGTATATATCGTTGACATTTGCAAGGGATATTTATTAAAAGTTAGCCGAATTACAAACTCAGCTGCGACTCGAAAACAAACGCATCGCATTAATCTTGGCGCGCGACAGTGTTTTTAACCTTTGTCCGCAGGATTCTCTCGCTAGAATATGAAACGCATTCGTACAAAGGAGACGACTCGCCCATTTCATGACGCGAAATACAAGACTGTAGACGGAGAGCCGTCTCTCTCTCTCTTTATCTCTTCACACAGGAAGAAGTTCTTCCTGTGTCTTTAAACGAGACTTCTGGCATGCATGGCTGCGTAGATGTTAGACCAGCACGCGTGCAATCCGATGCATAATGCATTCGGGTGCAACGAGTGCAACGGAGCAACATCGTGTGACCAAATTAAAAGAGAGGGATGAATCAGAGATATCTCGAGAGTTGATTTTTTTTTACATCAAGGTGGCCTCCTCGTTTTTTTTTCTGCACAAATTCGCCAAACTTTCAAACTCCTGACTTATATTGTACCTCTTAATATTAATATTTTTTAAATTATTTTAAAATTAATTAGTTTAAATTCTTGTTATTTCATTTTTGCAGGATTTTTCAATGTATCAAAGTCGATCTCATTTAAAAGTTTATCTGATTTATTTAAAATCTTCATTTAAGCAGAATCTTGATTTGGTGTTAAAATTAATGAGATGTAAAATAGAAAAATCAAAAGCGGAAGATAAAATATACGATTTTAGAATATTAAACTTGTATTTTTCCATAACATTCTCTGGACTATTTCGATACTTGTTACTTACTCGATTTTTAAAAAGTATCGTAGCGGATATTCCTTCCTTATAGCGGATGTTATATATAAGCGCTTTTAATACGACGGATAATTATTCAACGAGTACCATTTGACTAATCTACCGGCATTCTAGTCGCAGCCTCCTCCAAATTAACTTTAAATCCAGCTTAGCGCAAGCCTTCTTTGAATATATTTTTCCTCTCTGCAATTCCGTGCTGTTCTCCATCCTCGCCCGATGCGATCCGGTCTAGACGAACTTTTGTGTAATATCGGAACAGTCGCCCTCTTGTACATTCAGACAAACGACGAGATCATTCCTCCTTGAAAAAATCACACGCTTTTATCTCCGTTTCTACCGCGATGAGAAACGAGGGGGACACGTCTCGCAGCCGCTCGCTGTCTAGCCGGCGGTCAAAATTGCTCCACTATTTTCCGACGTAAGCCGTCGTAACTTTCGCCAAGAAATTCGCCGGGTTTTCTCTCTCCCCGCGAAAGCGAAATAATGATCGATGATAGAAATAAACGGATCTTCCCCGAATGCGATGACGAGAATACAATGAACTTGAACTTTGTACATCTTTTTTATAACAACAAAACACAACGATGCTGTCGAGAAACGAGAAGCAATACGAGAAAATAATGTTCTCATCGTCGTGTTGTACGTAAAAAAAGGAAATCTTAACTGTGTAACGTTAAATTAAGAAAAACAGCAAAATGAGCTGTCGCGTTTATCGTCGCTCGCGCGAGAGAATCATTTTTTTTTTTCCTGAGTTCCCGCTTGTCTCCATTTCTCGCGAAATGACTCGTGCTATATCGTTTATCGATGATCGGCGTGTTTCTTTTTTGCATGTAAATGGACCCAGCGCCTATATTCGTTGATTGAATCCAGTTCCGTGGCCTCCGCCGAGGATAAATTTCGCATTCGCCGAGGTCGGCACGCGGGTATTCACGGGGCGGGGAACGGAAATCGATCGGTTAGGGGTGCAAGACAGACAGGGAGAAAGCATAACGTGAGAAAGGAAACATCGGGCGCAGTCCCCTTTTCTCCGCCCTCTTTGTCCGCGTATAACCATGACGGTTCCAACCCCTTCTTGTCTATCGTACATGCGGGGAGACAGGGTCGAATAAAATTATTCAAATCGTCTTGTGCTTCAATTCTTCTGAAACGAACGAAATATGTAATGGGTGTTCCCACCGAAAAAAGAAAGTAGGCAGTTCTTTTCGTTTCACGTTATTAATATAGACTAGTTCCAAAAACAGTCTAGAATTTTTTTTATCGCGATAATAAACTTTTTTAACAGACGGTAGAAGAAAGGGGTGAAGATGCCGATCTTGAATGTTTGTCGATTTTTTCTGATTTTTGTGACGTAAAAATAATCTAGTTTTTTTTTTTTTAATTAACTAAAGCCTTGCCTATCACTTATATTATTTATTGTCATGAGCAAATTAAATTACATTGCAATAGATTATCTAGTATCAAAACCTCTAATAAGTTTGGCATCCACTCGTTATTAGCTTAAAAAAATTAGCAAATTATCGCTGCTTACCTCCTCTTTCCTACAATTGTATGAAGACACATTACATGAAGTAATTATTCTGAAAGAATATTGAGGTATGCCTCTTAAATATTTCCGGACGTAATCCATAATTTGCCATCAACGTCGCGATTAAAATATTATTAATTATCGCTATTAAACAGCACCCGTAGAAAATGAATGGTTTCAATTTCGATACGTTACGCGCTTCCGCCTCGAGGAGTTAATTGACCGCGTGTGGTGGGGCCTTCCTTCGTGTGAAACAGGTTTCTCGCCTCGTCTCGTTTCTCGTTCTTGGTTCGCGTATCATTCGGCCGTAATGATCGCCGGAGAACCGAGAGAAAGAGAGGGGGAGAGGGGAAAGGAGACACAACCGAACGGGTTGTCAACGCCGGTTCTGGTTGCATCGGGGCGACAATGCGACACGCCGCGCGCACGTTGACGGTGTCGTCTTTATGGCGTTGTGTGCCTCCACAACGAATAATAAACGGGTCGGTGGCCATTGTCGGGAATATAGGTCGAGCGTTCTGACATTTACCGAGGCGTTTACGAAACGTCAGTTTCTTAAGTGTGTGCGGCCGTGCATTTACCTTGCCGCGGGTAATTTTCAAGTCCTCCGGACTGCCTGCGCAAGTCTTGCGGAAAACGCCGTCGCGAGTGAATGGGCCGCGAGCGCGACACAGTTATTAACTTCGCGTCCTGACAACCGCAACCGACAACTCATCATCTCACGGTGAAATAAATCGAGACACACCCTGATAGGAGGGAATCCCTCGAACCGCCGGAGCCGCCTTTCCGGTATCGCGAAAGACGCGCGATAATTTTTCTTTTTTTTTTCTCTTCTTTTTTTCTTTACAAAACGCGAACCGGGCACCTGATGTTGCTCTCTCTCTCTCTCTC